AATATAATATCTAATATAGAACTTATAATGTAAACAAACAACTATTAATAAGAAGTATAATAATCTAGTAAAGTGAACAGATTATCAATCTTCAAATAGAAATTTAAGGTTTAATTCTTATAAATAATGAATTTTAGAAATTATATTTGTATTATAGTAATTATCTCTTATTAATCAGTTGAATTTAAGTATCTGTAATCTTAAATATACTAAATTAGATTTTATCTGAAAATTTGAAAATTATAATTCTATAATTTTAATTATATTAAAACAAATTTAAACGTATACAATGTTAGAGGTGTAATAACTTAGTAAAGTGAATAAGTTATTAATTTTCAAGTAATAGATTGTAAGTTCAAAACTTACTAATAATAAAAATTTGAATTATTATTTATATAATATATAGACAGTATTAGGTAATACCATTTTATTAATCAGGATAAAATATCTGTACCTATAGTTACACTAGTATAACTGATAGGTTATAGAGTATTTGTGTATTTTTATTATACAAAAAGATGTAAACTATTACTGGGTAATGTAAATCTAAGATATGTCTTTGTGGCTATATAAATTTCCTTATTTGAAAAGATCTAAGTAGAAAGATAATATAGATTTTTAATAATATACTGTAAAGCTAGATCAAGAAAATAAATACTAATGCAAAAGAATTGAACAAACAAAAATTTTTAGATATGAGGTACTATCAACCAGACTGTTAAATCAAATTGAAAAAAAGATTATTAAACTAAACTTAATATACTAAGAATAAATTATAGTTTTTCTAAGATATTTGAATTGAAAGTTTAAGAACAAAGCAAGAATATACTAAAATACTAGAGATATAATATAAAGTAAGTACTAAAGTACAGATAAACTTTATAAAAACAAGCTCTTGTTAATAATCTGCAAAGTTATACTAACAAATATCATACTCTAAAATGTGTAATAACTTAAGAATTAGTTCAAAAAGAAAAAATATTATATTGCTTAGACAATATACTAGTTAAGTATATACAAAGAATATAATAGTAGTTAAATAATTAACAGAATAGATAATTAGAATGTTCAAATAAATAATTTTCTTATAGATTATAAGTATAGTATTTAGTATAAAACTTTAAAATATAAGTGTGGCAACCTAGTAAAGTGATTAGGTTGTTAACCTTCTAAGTAGTAAATTAGATGTTCAAATCCTATTGATAGCAAAAATTTAGATAATTACCTATATAATATTTGTATTATGCCAACTGTTATTAATGATTGGGTTAAGATATCTGTAATAGTAGTTATACCAGTATAATTGGCAAGTTATAAGACATCTGTATAACTTGTTATAAGACATCTGTATAACTTGTTATACAGAGAAATGCAAACCAACAAATTAGGTAATACAAATATTAGATAAGTCTTTGTGACTATATAAATTTGTTGAATTAAATAACAAGAAGTTTATTTAAAAAAACTCAAGTAGAGAGGTAACCAGATCTTTAACAAATCTATTGTAAAGATTAGTCTGAAAAAACAAATACCAAGGTTATAATACATAGTTGTAGTATCTGAATAGGCAAGAATCTTTAAGTTAAGAGTCTTAGAGATACTACCAACTAAGCCATCAAAACAAATCAAAAGAAAAGAATATTGGGCTGATCTGATATACTGATAGACTGATTATAGTTTTACACAGACTATCTGAATTAGAAGTCTAATAAAAAGATAGATAAAAAGGCAAGAATATACTAAAATACTAAGATTATACTGTGAAGTAAATATTGGGATCTGTATGAACTTTATAAAGATATAATGATTAAATAATATAACTCTAATTGCAAGTATTGGTTCTGCTATAGCAATACCTAGATCAACTATAAAAATAGATACAGAAGGCTTATCTTGAGAATAAAATGATTCTAAGATTGAGATAATGATCTGAACATCTGGGTATAATCTAGTAATAGTAATACAAATTGCAAATTCAGAAGGTTTAAAGTAAAATATCCAAGCAGAAGTGTTAGATACAACAATTGATAAAGAACCTTTAAGCAGACTTCTTAAATAGGTAATATAAAAAAGTTACATATGTAATCAATTGTATATTTTTTTATAATAGTTTATAGAATTACATTATCAAAAAGTCATTAATAAAAGTCAAAAAAACCAAAAAGATCACCTTAATATTAAAAAAAAAAATTAAAAATAAACCTTTAAAATAAACTACTTAAATAGGTAACCAAAAGTTGCATATATGATTAGTTATACTCATATTTCTATAAAAATAGTTGTAATACTAACCCTAATATATTCATAAAATATAAATTTTAATAATAAAAAAAAGTTCAATGTCAAATAAATCTAAAAAAATAAATCTAAATAAAAAATTTGTCTAAAAATATAAAAAAAATAATATAACTTTTAACATTATTATTTATAAAAATCTTAATTTAATAAAAAAAAACTAAGATAAATAACCTATATACTGTAAATAAAAATCTTTAAATAAAAGATATTATCAATCTGATCATCAATTGATCTAAACATGAAGTTAGAACAAATATGACATTGATGAGATTATAAAAGAAAATACTAAGAATATATAAACTTTATAAAAATTAAAACTAGAATATCTATTAAATAAACTATAAAGGATTTAATAAGTATTATTCTCAAAAATAAAATAATCCTAAAATTAAATATAAGAATTTAAGTTACAAAAAAAAAAAAACTTCTGTGATTTAGTAAAATTAATACTAAGATATAATACTAGAGAATTTAAATTAAAACACTCAAGCAGAAATGTTAGATACAATATTTGATAAAAAATCTTTAAGCAAACTTCTTAAATAGACAATATAGAAAGAATACATGTATAACCAATTGTACTCTTATTTTATAGTAATTTATAGAAATTTCTGTTCTAACAAATTACTAAAGTCAAGATCAAAGAAAATCACTTTAAAAAAAAAAAAATAATCAAATGACTAAGATCATATGAAAAAAAAAGTAATTACATAAGTCATCAGGTATAATAACCAAGAAAATAATTTTTTATAATTTTTTTAAAACAAAAATCCTTTCAAATTTATTATTTAGATAACAAATCTAAAAGAGAGACTTTCAAAATTTTAATTTTAAAAAAATTATTACAATTAAAATATATGCTTTTAAAATTTAACATATATATATAACTTTAAGAATTTTAAAATTAATTCCTGGTATATACAATGGATCAAATATCAAACTAACCTCTCATATATAATTACTGACACTCAAATCTAGGTGAGCCTTAACCACTTCTGTTGGTTTAGATCACAGATAAACTAGTCTAAGCTTCTACTCTTTTTATAATATTTTTAAAAGTAAATTTATGCTTTATGTAAAAATTTCAAATAAATATTCAATAAAGATAAAGGCATGGCCTCACCATTAATATTAAAAATAATAATAATAATAATAATAATAATAATAATAATTTTAAGAATTTTATTATTATTTTTATCATAAAAATTTTTTTAAAAAAATTGGCATACTGTAGAATTGCACATGTAGGATTAGAAAACTTTCGCATTCCAGATCGTCCACATCCCAATACTGGATAAATTTACAACTTTATTCGAGAATATTGTTAGACTATAACTATATAAAACCCACGAGTACGATTAAGTTTATGTTTGTGGCCCTGCGTTAAATTCATGTCGAGCCATAAAGTCTCTCCCAGGTCACAACACTATTTACAGGTTTGTATTTGTACTATCGTATTATTTTTTTCATGCTTATTGTTCGGATCTCAGATTCGAACTGAATCTTTTTTTTTTTTCGATAATATCGAATCGAACTCCACCTCGAAAATTTTTAAAAAAACTAGTCACCTATAATTCTCGTCGTCACGATTATTCAAACCATTTGTATCTTCCACGTGCCTGCTACCAGTGGCAGGTCTTCAAAAATCAGTTGAATCGGCACAAGCCTATCCGTAGGCCCGAACTCGCCTGACTTTAAAGACCTGCTACTGGCAGCAGGAAAGCGGAAGATGCAAATAAAGCCTGTATGCTGAAAGTGGGGTTATCATATACTAATTTGGCCTATGCACAATTGTAGAACACTATTTTTACAGCCCTCAAAATTCTAAAATCATACGGGCTACCCTATTCCGTACCCTAGTCCTCGTCGATACGATCCTCAAGTTCAACATCAAATCTTCGATTTCGAAATCAAATTCAGTAACAAATTTAGCAATGGAAGTACGGTACCCATTCGTAGATTTACGTCCTTTTGATTGATTAGTCGATGGGAATTGGCATTTGTGATTTTGTCAATATTCTTAATAAGGATACATACATTTAAGATTAATTGAATTTTTGAAGCATATAATGTAAAAAGTGTATAATAAATTCAATTAGTCTAGATTGAGTATATTAAACATTTATTTTTACCAGTTATATATTCCTATTAAAAACATTGAGGATGTTGATAGTTGTGCAAAAGACCCCCATCAAATAACTAATCAAGGAAATACCTTTTGAGAATTTGATTAAAATGATAATACTGTATTACATAGATTTAAGTCAGATATTATATTTCGCAGAATAGGGTATTATATATATGTGTCAATAACAATGATTAGAAGTTAGTAAAAACTCTTGTGGTTATACTCGGGTTTTTACAAGATATAGGCTAGCATCTTTTATATAACAATTCTTTTGAAAATAATAACGATACAACTAATAATATATACTCTGGTTTAAAACAAATCTTCAACATAGTAACATGGAACATAATATCCACCACCGAATAAATTTAATCGATATTATAAACACAATTCTCAAATTACTAGCCCATAATCGTTTATGGTGATTCAACAAAGTTAAAAAGCAAAATAAACAAAATATTACGTATAAATTGACATTAATAATAGTTCAAAAAGTACAAGTCAATATAATTATAAGATTGTTATGTAAATCTACTTATATCGTTTGTTGTATGAGATGCTTAATTTACTAAATTTATTTATTTTGTTGTGCATCGTCACTGGGAGCCTCGGCATTGTCCTCTCCATTTTGATTATTGACGAATTGACGAGCCCTTAAAATATAAACCAAATAGATATAGAATGAGTAAGTATTAACTAATATAATTTAATTAGATGACATACATATTCATTATTTCAGGATTATTCATTAACTCATTGATATTTGGTGTCTGGCCTTCTCTCATCATATTTTGTGCCCTATATTATTAATTGATGTTCTTGTTAGTGAATTTTACAAACAAATAATTGTGGCAGCTAAAGCTAAAATTGGTTGAAACTGAAATTTGAACCTATTTTAATATTAAATTTTCAAATTTTTGAGTGCATCTTTCTAGTCTTGTTATAGTTAGGACTAGAAAATTGTTAATAAGAGTATAAGTGGTCCAGTATATTCGAAGACAACAAGTTTCAACGTCAGCAAACTTTAGCTTCAGCTACCACGATAAAGAACGAAGAAAAAAAACTATCATAGTTTAGTACATTTCAGCAACATTAGGATTATTCATAATGTTATTAAATGCTCCTGATTGCATCATTTGACGTGCCATGTCCATTAAAGCAGGATTATTCATCATTGAAGCAAAATCGAGACCTCCACCACCAGCACCACCTAGTCCTGATAAACCAGGAAAGCCACCAAGTCCGGCACCACCACCTGGCGTGGAAGAACTTCGCGACGATCCTTGGTTGGATAGTTCATTAGCTTTTTGTTGGGCGGTGGCAAGGGCCGTTTTCATAGTAGAATTATTTGGGTCAAGTGAAAGGCCTTTCTCGTATGCATCAGCCGCTTCTCGGTATTTTCCGACAGAGAAATAAGCATGTCTTTTTATTGAGAAAATAAATGTATAAAATTGTTAAAGCAAGCATAATTTAAACTCTTTAGTAAATATTAAATTCGATAAATATCGTTACCCAAGTCTGCTATATGCTTTACTGTAAGAAGGATCTAATTGTGAAGATTTCATAGCATCCTCTATAGACTTGTCATGTTCACCTAATTGACTATATGCGGCGGCCCTATAATTTGCATAAAAGAGAGAATTAGAATATTATTGTTGACATTCACAAATTTTCCAAAGATAATGCTATACCTATTGGCATAATAAACAGCATTATTTTCGTTGATTGCAATAGCCTCTCCATATAATTTTACTGCTGCCCTATAATCTTTTTCGGCCACTTTGAGGTTACCTGATTTTTTTTTTTTTTTAAAAAAAAAAAGGTACATAACGTTTCAACTTATGAATTGATTGCAATCATATATATATGTTGAAATTAATTAAATACCAGCCACTTTCAATTCTTCAGCTTTTTTTCTTTGTTCTTCACTGAGTTCCGTCTGATATATAAAGAGCTCAGTAAATATACAAGTGTTACAAAAGAAAGAAATAATTTACATTATTATTCACCTTAGTTGTAGTCGCTGGTAGTTTAAATAAAAATGGAAATATATGTACATAACATAATAATTATGAAAAATCGATAGCAAATTAGAGTACATACTACTAGGTTTAGGTGTTGTTGACTAATGAAAAAAAAACGAAAAACAAAATCAAATTTATTGATTTAAAGACATGTATAATTAAAGCAAGAGAGGAATGCTCACCGCCTTAGTTATTCGTTCTTGGGTTTTTACAGCTACTTCAAAAATTGATAACAAAGGAGCCTTCGTGGCATAAAGTGCTTTCTGATCAAGATCTTCGATGTTCACACCAAAAGCTTCACCAATACATTGCACTTAGTAACGCACACGAGTCTTTGTTAGAATTCGAGAGTATAACGATATTGACGCGCAGTTTTTATAAGGATTTCGAACCTGCTACTTCGACACCTTCAGTATCTTCTTCTTTAATCGTTCCGTCTTTAGTGGACTGCTGCAAAAACTGCAAGATAGAGAATACGAGTCTTTTCTTTATATCAGCCATAATATTATGCCAGAGATCAAAGGATTTATGTATTTTGCACTACTTAAATTTACTGATGATTACACATGACATACTTCCAGGAGACCCGATCTAAAATTTTATCTATCTTTATTATCATTATATAAAAAATAAGAATACACTTACGTACGCACGTACGTGACTGTGATCCGAGCTGGCTAATACTTGTACGTACGTACCGATAATGATGACGACTTGGCTCAGAACTTTCCAAAAAAAAAAAGAAAATTATCATTATTAAAAATTTACGATTCAATTTGTCATATGTATTACATAGTATAATAAATATATATACAAAGACTTAAATTATATAATGGGTTGACAATGGTCAGACTTAGTTTGAACCGGTTTGATTTTTAAAAGATCTGTTTTAGCATATGAAAAATAAAATTGGGCACAAATTCTATTGCTACACAGACTTTCAATTAGAAAATCCTGATTTAGTGTAGTTCTCTAATTTGTATAAATAGGTTACCCGGGTTTACATCAGCCAATCAGACGAAAGTCCTCTTATGATGATCAGATGATCAAACCAATTTTTTTAAATATATAATAGTTTTTTTTTCTCGCGCTTAGTTTGCTGGGTTTTTTTTATCTCTTTATTTAAGGTTTATTGGTTTTGGAAAAAGGACTTGTTATGCTTCTTTCTTAATACAATCTGTCAGAAAAAACTTGCGAAGTAAATGTTTTTGTTTTGCAGACTAAATAAAAGCTTCATAGAAGAACAATACATTCTTGGTATGGGAGGTGTTTGAAGAAATGGGTTGGGATACGCTATTGGCACGCATTTAATGATAATAATAAAAAAAAAAGGTTGTATGCTTGTGATTACAGGCTAAAATCCTGACAAACAAAATTCTGACAAAAATTGACCAGAATTATTGTTAATGTGAGCTAGGCTTTGACTCTGTCGAGATTTTGTTTATTAGTATTTTAGCCTGTAATTCCGATAACAACTTTTATGAATATCTTTCCAACCAATGAAATACACCTCTATGCGGTGGTTGTGACAAGTAGGAGAAGTAATCTTCGAAACTAAGTATCTCGAACACTTAGTATATTGTATTACTGTATTATAATTGGTTTAGGGTTCATGGCACGGAAAATCATCACATTGGGCATGGCGTGTGATGCTAAATCATTATGTGAAAAATCAATAATATATTACATGTAAACTAAACATTTTCATGTAACAGTTCAGTATCATGTCTTCATGCCCGTATAACAATTTGAAATCTGTCCCGAACCCTAGTTTGGTTTATTTATACGTAATATAAAGATATATAAGTGATTATTAAAAGAGTAGATAGTTAATAGATTATATTTATATTAGGTTTTGGAGTATGATTAATAATAATTTGTCTAAACTCGATGCTGAGTCTTTTATGAGTAACGCAAATCAAGTAACTGATTATTGTTGAAGTTGGCGACTAACTTTACCGTTACAAAGCCAACTTAATCGATTTGTATTAGCCGGTTGGATGATTAATATAATTTTAATTCAATAATTAAATATTCATTCTTATTAAAAATTTTTGCTTACATGATATAAAATCACAGAAATTGTTATGGACAGTTGTTAATGTAACAGTTATCAGTATTTGTAACTATTCACTGTCACGAAGTTTTTGATATTTGCAAAGATCGAGTTCTTTTGACCAATCAAATAGCTTGGTCAAGAACTGGTTTGGACATTGTCTATAAAAAATGCGATGCATCACTACTATAATTGACCAATCAGGGTGCAGGATCAGGTTAATGACTATGGAACTACTTTATTATGGTTCATAGGAATGTTAAATAGCTTGTCTGGTATAGTTCTGGTTCAAAATAATAGGTTCAAGTTTAAACCAGTCAGTTTAATGGCTCATAATAGTTTATGATATCGTACACGAGTGCCTTCAAGAAAAAACCAGTTATCGGGCTTTCAATTGTGTCCGAAACAAAATAATAATTGAAAATCCGATGACTGGTTTTTCTCTGGCAGCCAACCAAACAAACTTTTCCTATGAATTTGGAATACTCAAACAGACTTACTTACGACCGTCTAAATGATTAAAGACAGCCGCAGCATAAATTCAAACTTAATAATTAAATCACATAGAAGACTTTTAGATATTCATCAGGAAAATTTTTTGTGCAAATCTGTAAAAATTTGTATTTTTGCAGATTTGCACTAAAAAAATTCCTTGAGCATTCTTCTTAGAAATGTAAAGCTCCACTAATAAACATATTTTAAATCAATATTTAAACTAAAAATTGGGTTAGATAAATCTTAAATTTCATATATAGATTTACAATAGCACTAAATCACACTAGTGGTGTTCAACACCATATATATGGTTTAATAGTTTGCTAGTAACATCTAGGGTTAGAGAACTTGAACTACTAGTAAGAATATAAGTCTAAATTTTAGTTAAGGTGAGGTTTTGAGATATAGCAATAATGGTGCTAAGCACCACTGATGTGATTTAGTAAAGCCGTAAATTCAATTCCAACTAAATTTTTTAAAAAATAAACCTTTAAATTTAAATTGATTAAGGTTTATTTGTTATTTGAAAAATAAATCTCAAGACAATAATTAGATTAAGAATTAACCTAAATTCAAAGATTGACTTTTTAAAGTTCAAATTTTAATTACATCGATTTGAGAATGATTTTTAGATCAATTTTTTTGGCCAAATTAATATGAATTTGACCTATATTAATACAAATTTAACTTAAATTTTGAAAATCGATATAAAATACATTTCTTTTTTTGACCAGTGATAAAACAGCCAAAAATTAAAGTTACTATTCTATTAGCTTAAATTTAACCCCAAAAATTTTATTTTCAAAAACAAGAAAATAAATCTTGTAATTTATTTTTATATATATTTTATTTAAAAGTAGCATTTGTTATAAAACTATTTTAATATAAATTTAAAGCCAAAAGCACTATATTAATGAAATAGTAACTATATAGTAATTTATAACTTGCTAGACTAGAAATAGTCGCATGATTCTTGCAACACTAACAAATCATCCAAGATCCTTTCTATTGTTGTTCCAATTTGTTTGGTCATTTCTCGTTGCCTATGTAATACTAAATTTGGAAATTGAATTAAAAGGTCTCCGTCCAAAATTCCTTTAGCTGGATTAATGGCTAGTCGTTGCTTAGATTGCATAAGCCTTCGTAAAATAATAAGAAAATTAGTCCTTTTACTCATATCATGATCAAACATAGGTGTTAAATAGGTACCTAAATGACTTAGGATTAAGACCCGCCGGATGTTGTATTCCATTTACCATTTGTGAGTGCAATAATTGCATTCTTTTATACATCTTTTCAGGTATTGGGGTTATCATACCAATACTTCCATCAAGAGTTCCTAAGTATCGTGACAGAAATATATACTTATATAGTTATTCAATTTATTATTTATAAAGTGTAATAAAATATATTTAGTAAATGTGTACCACATAAGCAAAGCTGTTTATGCCCACTGGTTTCCTCTTCCATCACATGTATACCATGATCAATAGAATGTTCTCTTCTTGCCAATTCTTTTTTTGGTAATGATAACATCGTTTTTACTTGTGCGCCAACATGAAAATCACCTCTGCGAATGAGTTTCTGACCAGCAAATGATTGTACATCTTAAAAGTAGATTGAATATTAAAAGTGTTTACAAATAACTGCAATAAAAGATAATTATTTAAACAAAATAAACTTACTATAAGGTGCATACTGAAACAAATGTATATTCTTATCCATATCTGCCACAGCAAAATATAGTACAGGCTCATCGATTATGAAATTAGTGCAACCAACTTCCATAGAATGATAGTCTTTACCAACCAATACTAGTTTTGCCGGTTCCTCCTTTAAGTGCAATTATATGTCAATATATTTAAAGTATATTGAAAATGACTCAGAGCGTTATAATCCAGTAAATCCTTGCCTGAAATCCAAGAAACCAAACACCCTTGTAGACATCACCTAACAGTATATAATCTTTAATCGATACTACACTACTAGCATAAATTTGTATGTCTATGAACGCGACACTAATAAGACGATCATTGTCTTCAAATGCACGAATAAAAATCTAATATAAAGCAAAAAAAAATTACTATTTATGACAACTTACAAAAATATGTATATATATTTACCTTTGGTCCAACACACGTCAACAAGTATCCATTGACATCACAAATTGCAGTAACAGAACCTTTCACTTCTTCATGACATAGCAATTTAAACTTGTGATTTGTTTGCGGATTATCAGGTTCCGGCACAACTTCAATTATTTCAAATACGTAAACCTTTAAAAATTAATGATAGATTAAGAATATCGAAGTGATCTGATTTGTTGATAAAAGAACAATGACTTACATTTCCTCGCATGCCCACGTCTTCTCCGCGGAAAATTCCAGTACCGATAGCAATAAATGATTTTCGACCACTAGTAGTAGATTTTGTTTGAAGGCTTACACATTTTATGCATAGACCTTGTTCATCATCATGGAAATCGTGCCTATATGATGTTCAACTTATGAAACGATAAATCATATATAAATAGTAACCAAATATTATATATTCTAATCAAACCTGTCTACAGTTTCCCAAGTGACCGGAGATATTAATTCAAGAGTAAATCTTTGGGTTTCAGGTAAAACTTGAGAGCTATCTACATATAGTATAAAGCTAATTATCAGAAGCCATTTACGCATAATTAATATGTATAGACAAATTACCTCGTTCAAATTCTAAAGGTTCACCATTTTCATCCCTCAGTAGAAACTCAACAGGTACCGATGTTAACAATGCGTAAACCTGCATTTCCGGATGATATTCGATTCCATAAACAGATCGATTTAATTGAATTTTTTTCACAGTCCATTCCATATCATATTGAAAATCAGTCGGTAACTCTGACAATCGGCAAACGTCCTAAGCAAAGATTAATAAAGCTGTATTGATTGAATAAAATAGGAGGTGAAATTTTTTATGATTAATTACCTGAGTATTAGTATACAAAAAGCCATGCCTACAATGTACATTATGAAATTGTGTAAAACTTCGTATTTCGCCTTCCGCGTTCATCGGATGCAATCTTAGATAGTTGTTATTCGCACAAATCAACCAAACAGGTTTCGCACCTGTTACAAAAACACCAGAGTAACCCGAAATATTTGTGAAGGGTATCAGTCGTCGATTTATCTGTTTAAGGATAGGACTCCGCTTCTCTACATCATGACTTGTTTGATCAACTTCGTCAATATTTGGTTCTTGAAGATTTGTCCTTCTAGATACAGGTTTATCATGGATATCACTAAATATAGTTTCACGCGATATGTACTCCTGATGGACACGCGAAAATCGTATAGCTAGACGATCGGTAAACTCGCTTTGAGATTGTGACTTTAAGAAAGGGTCCGATATGTCGGTGCCGGGTATATATCGAAAGGCTTTATAAATCATGATGTCGCCAACACTAGAACGTGCCTAAAACATACATTGTCGAATAAGTTCAACATTTTTAACGTTCGAAAGTATTATCAGAGAATAGGAAATAAATAATAAGTTACAATTAAATATGGTTCTTTTGTTCGTCGACCAATGTTTATTAATAAAATTTCTTGAATGTCCACGGTCTGTCCAGAAGTTTTCATATTTTGCCTCGTTATAACATCGTTGAGAACAGTTGGTGACAAATCAAAATGTGGGAAATGAAAGACCTCCTCAAATTCAGGAAGCTTATAAATCTATCATATAAATTATAAATATTGGTATATATTTGATATATAATAGTATAAAATATACATTACTGACCTCCAGGGAACCATCTTGTCGATAGAGTACGCACCAAAAGCTTTCTGATTTCACACTTTCAACAAAACCACTTAGATTCGTTTCATTTACCTCACCCCCGATCTCCTGCCGATTTTCATAAATATCCGTAACGTCCTTAACAAGAGCAAAAAGATCGGTATCATCTCGATATAAATGGCACGATGCAGTAGGGTTATCCTAGAATAAAAAAAGAAATGGTTTAAATTTGACATAAAGTAATTAATAACACATAGAATTGATTCTTACGTTAATAACCGAAGGCTGGGAATAAAAATCAATATTCTTTGACTTATCGTCAGCCTTTAACAATTTAATATCACCAGTGTCAAATAATAGCAACACATATGGATCAACAATGCTAGCAAATTCAATTGAGCTTGTCGTCTCAGAATCATCTTGAGTTGGTATCATTTGCACAAGTTTTCCATCTACATGTGTATACAAAATAAAGATAAGAATTGTTTTTATTTACACTATCATATAAGATGTAATAATGTTGAGAAAAAAAATAAACCTTGATCAAGAAGTAGGAGGCCATGACCACAAATTTGTAATATACGTGACCCATTCAATACTGATCCAACTGCCACAGTCGGACCATCTGTATAAAAATCAGAATGCTCAAGTTCCTGTAATTCTTCACCACAGATAAGAACCTAGACGTAGCAAGATATTTAAAATCATGCTGGATTACAATTTTACAAATTAACAATAAATATACCATTGTCCTATATTTTTTTGAAATGAATAAAAATTTGTGAAAAGATTCTTCTGTATCTTCAGTATCGATATTCATATTTTGATATATGACATCTTTGCATGATACCGTCCACATATTTAAACAATCAGTCATTGGAAAAGAGCTTGATACTATTGGATTTATATTACGCTATAATAAAAAAAAAAATCGCACTTAACTATGGAATTAGAATTAATTATATAAATAATTACTAGGGTAAAAAAAAAAGCACCTTACGTGAAATATACAAAGCGAAGAAGCCGTTCCGGAACCAGAACAAGAAACTAATTCCAATTCTTTACGCACAGTATGTAAATGTGACTCTTCCTAAAAGGAATCAAAACTTAAGTATTTTAAATTGTATATGCATTGATTCTAACAAATCTTTTAACCTCAGAGAATGCTAATTCGCCATAAGCCAAATCCACTATTGGTCCAACATTAATAAGTGTATCGCATATAGTAAAGTTATATTCAGAGGTTGTCGGAAATTTAGTATTTATTTTGCTGCTTAAGCTACCAATATTTATACTATTTGTCGTATCAGTTTCATATAATTCTAAACACGTGTAAAATATTAAATATTAGGTATTAAATATTAAATAAGGTGTAATATGTACACATAAGGAACTTAAAAATGTTTATTACCGGCATCAAAATCAAAGGTATTTCTTCTCGACTAATGATGAAATAATAATAATAATTAAAGACTAAATCATTCCAAGTTATGTAAATAGTTTAGAAATTACCATATTATTAAAACCATTCACAGAACCATTTGTCGTATAATTGGATTTGGCAGCTTTATATTGAACTAAATGTGAATCACCTAGCCGTGATCCTAAAAAGAAATAACCAGGCGCTACGCTACAAGCACATGATGGTAACGTATTAGCGCCAACTTTTTCTATTGTAATCCTAGATATTGATCTTCCATCCTTTATCAATTTTACTAAGTACATGTCTCCATTACGTAAAAAGAGCAAAATTTCATCTTTATCTAAGAAAACATAATGACATCCTTCTAAAGAAAGACCCAAATGCTCGAATGAACGATCAAGCGGAAAATCTGTTGTGGACATTGCATATCCATTAACAGTAATACCAATTCCTGGAGAACTTTGATCTACATGAATTATCGCATTCGCAGTTATAATGAGGATACCACCAACAGGTTTTTGAATTGGAATTAATTTCACACAAGAATGTGGTAATTTATCCATTGAATATATGACTGGATATACTTTTTGTGAAATGTCTAGAGACACAACGACGAGAGAACAAGTGTCTTTATTTGTACTCATTTTACTAAAATATTATATTGAGAATTTAGTAATTTAGTAAATTTTCAGTGTCCCGATAAATACAATAATATATCATCTTTACCCCGGCCAAGTTTGACATGATTCAAAAAGTATGGCTAAAGTCGGTTCATAATAATCATATAAGAACTTCATATCTATGACATTTTTAATTCGTGATTGAATGGAAGGCAGTTCGACGACAAAACTTGGGTAATAAGGCCACTTGCTACCCAAATTGAAATGTTAGAATAAAGAATATTACTATCCAATTAATATATACAACGAAATATTAAATGGCATTACATACCTTGCAACTTCTTCTTCATCTAGATTTAAAGCTTCTTCTTGACGAAAAGGAAGAATTGCCAATTTATCACCAAAAAAATTCAATACAGCACATCTATTTGATGTATCTACCCTTAATTCAGTTGGACGCGTATTTGCTAGAAACTCTAGCTATTAAGATAGAAAAAATTCCTCAATATAATTATAATTGTATATCAATAATTAATTATATATCAACTTTTATTTGATGAATACCTTATATTCCTCCCGCTCATAATAGTGGATAGATACCGTGACGATGTTGTTAGTTGCCAATGAAAATTCCAAAAGTGACAACTATAATAATAGACTTCGTATTAATATTATTACCAAACTCTAAAACTCTAACTACTTGATATCATGTTTACTGCCTTAAATCAACGAACCTTTGCATCCTTAAAGCTTAATAGCAGACTATCCATACCATTTGCACCCGAAGAAATCGTTCTCACAACTCCCATAGAAGTTATATTGCCATGAAGCTTATACTGTGAGATAAGCTCAAGATGGCCAGTCATGAATGACGGATTTGTAGCCGGTTTGAGTGTCAATAGAAATGTCTACATGAAATAATTTAAGATATTTTTTTTTGGCATCATATAAAAAAGAAGAAATGGGCAAAAATAGAAATAAAAATAATTTATTGATTTTATGTATTTTCTTTAATGTTACATTTATTTATTTCAACTTAGCTGAAATACTTGTTACTTTCTCTAACCATGTTAATTTATGATTCTCTAATCATTTAAAATTATATTTATGCATTATGAGAAAGCCGAAAAGCCGTTTCAAAACGAACTAGTTAAATCCTCTTAGAAAAAAACTTTATAACAAAAAACTATAACCATAATTTTAAACCAATTTGCTCCGATCTGCTTCATAGCAAAATATCTTTAACAATTAAATTTGATAATACGAAATCATATTTCTTTTGTTCCCTCTAAAATACACTATTCTTGCTAACTTTATTCGATCTGTGCTAACTACCTTTCGTTTAGTTATCAACTAAAATAAGAAAACTAAAATAACGCGTGCTCACCTCATCCTTCTCATTTTCTATTTCTTGACCTAAGTCATTATCTTCGTCTTCTACTGAAATCTCAAGTCGTTCAACAAATTTGTAAATTTGTAATATAGATGAACGTGCAACTATTATGTTAATATCTTTTGGCGAGGTAAAATTGGCGCAAACAACTTCTTCAACGCTTGTTGATGGAAAAATCTCCTTATATAAAGGGTATATAGACATTCTTTTTCTTTTCTGTTATCGTTATGCTATGCGTTAACGCGAAGATCTTAATTCGCACCCTGGCAAAAAAAAAGTCGTTCACGTGAGATTCTACTTAAACATTACTGCATTATCATTATGATGATCATTATTTCCAACCAATCAGCGTTAGTTATGGTAAATTTCGCAGTCCCGTCCCGGGGTTCAAGTTATAAAGTATATAGGAAATAGGAAATTAGACTTTCGAGAGTCTGGCTTTTGGGTTATATAAAAATTTGATCTCACTATTGCACTTGCACCAGTTTAATAAACTTTCGAAATACTTTTTTTTTTCAGATATCACAGATCACATTTGAACAAGCACTGGATAAAGATGGGTACCCTTAAGTCGAGAAAATCCCGGGCTGAAGATCGCTGAAGATCACTTCCGACCCTATCCGGATCCAATAAAATCACAGGATCTCGTGAAACAAAACAAACACGAAAAACATAAGAAATTGTAAAAAAAAACGCAAATAACAAAAAAATTTATTATGATGACTAACTTCTGACCTCTAAGTAAACGTTTTCAGAATAAAATTTTACTTATAAGACGCAATTATTAATGTTAAATATATGAGAATTTTTGATATACTACGACCTATATCTTTTTGGCCAGCATAGTGTTCCAAATCGTTAGTTGAAAAACCAACTAGTTGACAATTTTTCAACTAATCGATTTGAAAAAAATTTAAACAACTAATCGATTTATCATCAACTGGTTTGATTACGATTAATCGT